CAAAAATAGACGTGTCGTCACATTATCCTTTCAAAATGATTTACATATATCCTCCTCTGAAATCAAACAATCAAGATACATCAAAATAGCTTTTACATATGCAAGTTTAGAGTCGCTCTCTCACAAACGTGCCATTGCTTCTCTCTGTCTTTTCTACAAATACTTTCACAGTAACTGCTCCGCCGAGCTACTTTCGCTGGTTTTCAAACTGCATGAATTTAAATGTTTTACTGGGTTAGCATCTCAGTCCCACCCTTTCACTGTCGAAACGATTAAATGTAGCCGTTTTTCTGCTCTAATAACTTCGTTTCGCACTTCTTGTCCGTGGAATTCCCTTACTTTTACTTGCTTCCTTGATGGCTATAATCTTCAAATATTCAAATGCAATGTCAATCTACATCTTCAGATGCCTTGATCCTGATTCTCGTCCTTTTCTTCATCCTTTCCTCTTGCTCCCCACTCTCTGTAACCCCCCTTGCGTGCTAGTGGCACTCCCTATTTGTTTGGGGTAAAATGTTTAAAAAAATGTAACATTCCATTGACAAAGTAGATTGTTTGTGACAAAAAATAATATAATACAAGCATATACAATTTATACAGTAATATATAATTATTATCTCCCTTGTGGAACTCACTTCCGGCTTCTTGCTTCCCAGTCAAATTTAATCTTCAAAAATTCAAATGCAATGTCTTCTAAATTCTTGTTCTTTTAATGTCCTCTCTCTTTAATAATAGTTTTTCTTATACTTTCTAACACTCAGTAACCATTTGCGTCCTAGTGGCTTTATTACCTTGCTTGGGGGAGGGCGGGGAATGATTTTAAAAATTCTGTGCCGGCTTAATTTTGTAGTTGCTCAAAACACACACACACACACACACACACACACTCTGACAATCCTACATTCTCTCTTCTTTACAGTTAACTTTATCCTTTCTTCTCACTTTCCTTTACTATCATGTTGAGGAATGTTTTCAGTTTTCCCCCTGAGTCGCCCATCAACACAAATATGCCTAACTTATAACAACATTAGGAATGTCGATAATAAATCCTTGTAGGACTTCTAGTTCTCTTAGGATCATCTCATCGAATAAATTAAATTAATCTGGCCAGAAGACTCGCCATTATCTTAATTCTTTTTTTTTTATTCTGATGTACTTGCTCAATTCATTTTACGTGCGTATACGGGCCGTTTTTTGATCAAAGTAAATGTTCCCGGGTATTCCAGTATCTTTCTCATACAAATCAAATTTTCATAGCAGTTCAAATATATTTTAATATTGTACCTTCTTAAATACTTTTGTTTAATCAATGTATGAGATGAAAGGTGTCTTGCATTTGTATGGTTCGCTTTGATAGAATTCTGATAATAAACATTTTTGAACAAATCACACTGTTCTTGTCTTATTTCACGTCTAATTCTGCTCTGAGCTCTATTCATTATACAAGCATAATATTCCGAACAATGTTCAAGATATTTAAAATGTGTTTCAACTTTTAAATTCTTCTGCAGTCACTCAACTGTAATATGTCGTTTTGTAATGATGGGAAAAAAGTTTGAAACTATTTAAACAGAGTTCACATAAATTTTACTGAACGGATCATAAGGGGGACACTGAAACATTCTTTAACAAGATAATCACTGGTTGCGAAAAATGAATTGTTTTTAAGCTTAGTACAACAAAAAGTATCACGTCTAGATCGAACTCCTTATATTTGTGAGGGCCAGTTTGATGAGCTCGTTAACCATAATACATTCTCGTTGCCTATTACTTATTTCTATTTCGACAAGAATTTTGGCTATTGATATTTACTAAATTTAGGTACGTACGATAGAAAATTGAGTTTTCGCTGATCAGAGAATCAATATAATCAATTCTTTGAGCAGGAATTAAGGACATTTCGCAATCGCACGTGTTATCAAAGAATAATCGATTTCTGGAAAGAACTTATGGACACTTCACAGTCACCCAGTAGTTTAAAATAAAAGAAATTAGACTTTTTAAATAAATAATTCATTTGAAAAGAGACTTTCGAGGCTTATTTTTAATGACACAAATGTTCTGCTGTAACCTAGAAAAGGTTACTGAATGAGGATAACCAAAACGGAGGTTGGAAATGAAATGTTTATCTTTATAACATTAACAAAATACAATACTCGCCAGCTGCGTGAAATAGATAAACCACTGCTAGTAGTGGACTACTTAGACAGCATTTTATCCCCCACTTAAAATAGTGTCTAATGTATTTATGAGGATTGGGACATACCCATTAGTGTTCATAGGTACCGTATATAACACGTTCATACAAGGCCCAAGAGACACTTATGGTAGAATGTTACTGTGTGATGTTGTATGAGCGTCAAAAAAGGCAAGAGAAGTTCATTTATTTAATTGAAAGGTAACGAGTAACACTAGACTTGAAGAGTTCAAGATTGAAGTGATTGGGGAAAACGTCACCTCGGGAGTCTGGGAATGATTCACACTTGTGAAGGTAGTTGGGCTTGTATCTGTCTATATTTCTGAGATGAGGTATTATTTACACAATTTACATTATTCGGACTATTGTCCTCAACTTTGTCGCCATATTTATCACAACGTTTCGGCCGTTGTACGCTCCGGCCTTCTTTAGGTGGTTGGAATGTCGAACTGAAGCCTTTATTTCGCTCACTTGGGTAGACTGTTCTAGTTCCACGTGCCATGTCTAATGGATTTCAGTTATTAGTTATCTCCTGTTAATTCCCCGCTCCAAGTTCTCCACTGCCTTAACCGGGTATTGAACTCACACTCTTTGGGTCCTGTCCTTGGATCTAACCAACGCCTTTATCCGCTGTGCCGTGTGTCCTTGTAAATAGTGTAGTTGGGCTTGTATTTATGAGATGTGTACAGTAAATTTATTATTCGTTAATTTTATTTATTTATTTATTGACGATTTTAATAATAACATAAAATATGATTACTAATATCGGTACCTCGTATGAAGTAGAGGTCAATATTGTCAAGTGAGTTCGATTCCTACAAGATCTCCTGCAGTATTTATGTCCGATTAAGAGAAAATTAACGCAAGTAATATTAACAAATTAGTCACATCACCTCTGTCCTGATTCTGATTCTTACTAGGTGTCTTACTCATTTGGCCTTGTGCCATACTAAGCTAAGCAATTATCAATATGTTGAAGGGGCGTCAATATAAATTAGACATACACACACCGGCTTATTTGATAGGTCAGACAGTTGGCTATTTATCATCGCCTCCGGGATTTCGAAAGCTGGTTTTCAAGGTAATTCGGAACGCTTTCCCGACTCGCAAGATGGGTGCAGCTTCCTCCACCACCACCACCACCACGATGTGACGTAGTGAAATAAACTTTATATAAAACCGTACGAAAAAAGATTAAACTGGAGTGATGAATAAAAAGAGCAGGGCTGTCAATCTGGAATTACATCCAGTTGTCAGATTGTAATCTGTAATTATTTTAGCATAAAGAATAGAGGCCTCAGCAACACTCAATATGACGCCTGCAGCAGACGTGCCAAGAAAAGGCAAGCGATGAAAATAAAGGCAAAATAAAGGAACACTATTAAACAAATTTATGTTAATTATTCATTACCTTAATTTATGAAAAGATTGGTCAATACAGATGGGTGGATCATGTTAGAATCAATCTTTTTTTATAAGATACACGGAGTAGTTTGTATAAATCAAAAGCAGTGAGGTGAAAAGTTTACGTAAGATTGTATCCGAAAAACTTAGACATACGAGTAATATACATATATTATGAAATTGACAAAGTCTGACGAATAATGTGTGACGTCATTTGTTTACATTTGGATACGCATCGAGCACATATAAATGTACGTGAGAAAATCTTGGAAAATTGTAGTTTATAAACAGTAAAATCGACCATGCTAACCGAATGCTCCTCTGTGGCGAAATCGGTAAAAGCACGGTTCCGTATAGGATACAGGTTCGATTCCTGTCGAAGGACGCATATTTTCTATGACAATTTCTCGGATATTCAGGCCGGTAAATGATGTTAATACTGTTTGTTATAAACAGCATTTACTTAAATATTTGTATCTATAAAAAAAAGTATGTATAAACATAAAATGTATATATATATATATATATATATATATATATATATATATATATATATATTACATGGAAAGAATCATGATCAGGCGCAATAGGTAGGAAAGTGGAATAATAGGTATGAGACTTGAAAATAAAGGGAAATAAATGGTAGAGATGGCGCCAAAAATGGCGATACAAAGATTTTAGAGAGTTGACAAACCCGATGGGAAAAGGAAATAACAGTTTTAGTAAACGAGGGGAAAATAAAAGAAAATATTCAAGATGAAAGATGAAAAAGGTTAGAAAGACAAGTGAAAAAACAGAAGCGGAGCCCTTTTGGTCAGTCTGCTTGTCTCCCAACATCATTTTTATTTTATTTTATTTTAACATCCTAAAGTTCCTTGTTCTTGCTTCCTAGTCGTTAGTTCTACTTTCTCTCTTTTTTTTTTCTTACCTAATGGGTGAGGAAGTTGACTTGTTAAGCATTCACTCTTTACTTAACCAATTTCTCCTTCTCCTGACTAAGGACTTTTCACTCTTTTTTCCATTTTTTTTTTTTTTTGCTTCTTTCGCTAGCACTCGGCTCGTACCCCTGTTCCTTCATTATATTCTCTCACCAACCCTGTATGACTGGAATGGTTCACCATCAGAAGATCTGTATCTCACTTCCTTCCGTGGAGACAGAAAATTGAGTGCAAAAGACGAGGATGTCGCCACTCTGATACATCCTCAACTGACGGACACAAATGGTTCTTATATAAAGTATCACCAGGTGTCCAAAAGGAGCGGCTCTCCCGACCCCTGGTGACTCGTTTTCCCTTAACTACTCCTCACCTCTTGCCCTGTCCACTCCGAGCAAATGTTCATTTACCCACCCCACTAGTCTGCTGTCTCTGTCTATTTTCTGATTCAGAATTGTCAGACGATGACCACAATACACTTAGACGCGGACGGTGCAGACAGCCTCATCTATGCGTCTGATGCGGCTATGAGTACTTGACACTTACAAACTCAAGTGGTCTGAAGTTTCTTTATAAATACCACGTTGGTGAGCCTCGTTATCATGAAGAAATAATCATGAAGAAATGTTATATAATGGGGGCAAACATTAGTTAATGTATCAGGTATTGCACTGCAACAGGGTTTTTGAATTCTATGGCAGAATCACTGAAATAATTGTGGAAACTGACCATGCAAAATGTTCTATTATCAAAAGCATTGATTTTGTTTTAAAGTGAGAGTCAAAGATTTTTTTCTATAAAATACATTGAATATATTTACGAGGCATGTGTACGTCGTGTGGTGGTTATCGCTGAGGAAAATAGAATTGGCGTGCCGAGTTCAAATCCCAGCCGAGGCCGGCGCGTTCACTTTCGCTCAAACACCCTTAATAAGATATGACTCAATTTCTCCTCCACTCAAGGTATAATAGCAAGGCAAACTAGGTTCTCTAGCCTGGGGTGGTAACAAATTTTGGAGTAGGAAAAACCTTTGAATTCAAAAACAGCCTGAGGAAGTATAGGATCTCTCTTGCTCTAGACACACCACTGCTGTTATGACTGAAATACATGTAGTGCCTTGAAGATGGCTTAAATTACTCGTGACAAAAGGGGTATTTCATGTTGATAATTTTTTGTTAAAAAAATAATTTTTGCCAACATGAAGTTTTCTATACATTTCCTCGTTATTATTAATGCCACATCTGATCTTTCGTAGATTTCAGAATAAGATTATCCCGGAAATATGCAATTCACAATGACTCTTTTTTTTCTATGTGCAGTATCCGTTTAGGTCGTTGGCGATCATGGCTCTCCACAGTTTTCGCTCCTACGTAGCTCTTAATAAGTTTTGTTTTTTGTCATCTTTCATGAACCTTGTTCTGCTATCTATTTACTTTAGCTTGCTAGGTAGGTTATGCGTTATTTTCCTCTGTCCCTCGTGACTTCAATCTGCCATGTGAGTATCAAATTTTCCAAACACTCTTTCCTCATTATGTGTCCTAGAATTTTCAACTGTCTCTTTGAGTATAAGTGTCCTTTGACAAAACTTAGATTTTAGAAACACAAATCTCTAATCTATAATCCTTAGTTCTTTGAAATCCAGTTAACCAAGAAGTCAATATAATGTCAATTCTTTTCAAATAAGTTGAGTATGCATCATTAAGTTATCACACAGCGACGTTATTAGCATTATCAGATCAAATAATCTTTGTCAAAGGAAACACTTTGAACTATTCCAGGTATAAAACCTATCTCAGAGCTAAGGTAGGTGTTTATTTCCTTTGATTTCAAATGTTAACTTTCAAGGCAGACAAGTAGTCCTTTTTTTACTTGAAGATTTCATACTTGAAATTTCTGGTATACATTATAAGGAAAGACGGCTTGAAAAACGTAATACTCACAGGATAGAGGGATATAGGAAAACAGCGAGCAACTTACATGAGGATTTTGGGAGAGTAGAGATATGTAGGGAATCTAAAGAGTCATGTTATTTCGAGCTACACGAAATAGGAATCTGTCTATATTTCTAAGATGAGGTATTACGTACACTATTTACATTATTCGGACTATTGTCCTAATCTTTCGTTTCGGCCGTTGTACGTTCTGGCCTTCTTCAGGTGGTTGTACGATGTGTCCTCAAGGACACATGGCACAGTGGATAAAGACGTTGGTTAGATCCAGTGACAGGACCTAAAAAGTGTGTTCAATACCCGGTTAAGACAGTTGAGAATTTGGAGAGGGGAATTAACAGGAGATAACTGATAACTGACATCCATCAAACATGGCACGTGGAACTAGTACAGTCTACACCAGTGAGCGAAATAAAGGGTTCAGTTCGACATTTCAACCACCTGAAGAAAGCCGGAGCATACAACGGCCGAAACGTTGTAATAAATATGACGACAAAGATGAGAACAATAGTCCGAATAATGTAAACAGTGTACGAGATAAGAAGTTGTGGAGAACTATGATCACCCATGTTCTGAATGGACGCAACGCATATGATGAAATTATGCAGAAATCTGAATTCAGATAAAAAAAATCCATGGCTTCAGTTAAAATTTTGATTTATTATTTTTCGTATTACGAGTAGATACATTGTCAAGTTTAAGATAGCAACGTGAGTCGTAAATCGAAATTGAAATACATGTCCGCATTGGAAAGAGAAAACGTGTGAATGTTGTTTAACACAACTGATTGTGGAAGTTTTAATATTAATGATCCGACATAATTATTTCTTTGTTTCTGTTTTGATTAATGACCTGCCTAAGAAGATGCTGAGATCATTACTAAACATCACTGCAGAGTCTCGAAAAATCACCACCGTCTTGTAACTGATCTCTTCTCTGACCGAGCTCTAACAGTGGGAAATATGGGCAAATAACTGGCTTGTAACTTTCAATATCTGTCTATATTTCTGAGATGAGGTATTGTAATTATTTGTATTGTTCAGACTGTTGTCCTCATCTTTATTGCCATATTGTTATATCGTAACTATGGATTATAATGGGTATGTCCCAAATCCGCATAGTTACAATAGAATATACTGTATGTGATAGTCATTGGGATACACTGTTGGATTCACTTTTAGCTCACTACTAGCTACACGCTGCTGGCGAATCTTTTATGTTGTTTCTATTATAAACATTAGCGTTCCATTTCCAACCTTCATTTTGGTTATTCTTATTCAGTAACCTTTTCCTCGGTTACAACACATATTCTCGACGTTTCAGTCATTGTACGCTCCGTCCTTGTTTAGGTGATTGGAATTTCGAAGTAAACCCTTTATTTTAGTCCACCGAGCTAGATTGTTCTAGTTCCATGTGCCATGCCTCTTCCGGATGTCTATTTTCCTATAACTCAACTCTCCAAGTTGTTTTTTTTTTTTTTTTTTTTTAATCCAGTGACTAGGCCCAAAGAGTTGTGAGTTCAATACCTGGCTATTGCAGTGATGAACAAAAACTTGGAGAGTTGAGTTAAAGGGGGATAACTGAGACGTCTGGAAGAGGCATGGTACGTAGAACTAGAACAACGTATCCCGGCGGACGAAATAAAGGGGTCGGTTCAAAATTTCAATCACTTGAAGAAGGCCGGAGCATACAACGGCCGAAGCGTTGTGAAAATGACAATAAAGATGAGGACAACAGTCCGAACAATGTAAATAATTGTAACTTTCAATACCTCAGAAATCAAGCTTTCGGGATAACCGATCAGACTCTAAGGTTTCTCCAGTCACGATGAACGGTTACATTCTTAATAAGACTCTCTGCATTGAACGTTATTCCTCTTGCAAATCATACGATCCATCGCTGAGTTTTCTGGAAAAATAGTCGATTGCTATACCCGACTCCTTCCGCCATGATTTAAAAAGTCAAATTAGACCAAACATCGAGTATTGCTATCATATCTTTGACTAGAGCACACAATCCTCACTTTCCAGCATAGAATTCGGAATTGTTTTCGAGGTCGTGTGGGAGAAGATATTTTTCCACATGCGGTCTCTCTCACAGTCACAATCCTCTCGCTACTCGCCATTTCCTTGCAAATGTACATATGAACTCTGTTTTTATTTTTCAGTTCCATAAGTTTAGACCTTAACAGCTAGAACACGGTATGCCATAACCATTACTTTTACTCTGTATTTCAAGTGCAAGAAGAAAATTCTACTCTGACAGCTTTTTCCAAAGAACTGCTATTTTCTGGCACAGACTTACGCGTTGAGGCTTCTATGAATCCTACAATCTTAATCTCTTCAAGTTAAGCGTTAATTGTAATCTGTCATCATAATCGCCACTACCTTCTACTGAATTTTCATACGAATCACACACACACACCTCATTCATCGTAACACTAATCCTCTACCTTGACTAACTTTCGCGCTCTGCATATATTTTTGAATCAATTCACTCCAAGCAAAGCGATAATATTACTAAGATGCAAAGGGTTACTGGAAGTGAAAGAGAATGAAAAGAACTATAAAAGGAACCGGAAATTTCATTTCTAAACAGGAAACAAGGGATAAATCTCCTGTTCAAAAGATCGAGGAGGAGTGATATTCGGACAATAGGTGAGTCCATCTACTCCTGGTAAACATTTAGTAAAAAGAAAAAAGACTTTTCGCGCGTACATACACATACACACACACAGTGTTAGTCCGATAAGTTTCCATCCATTTTATATCCATCTTTGCAGTCCAGATTTAACTACGTATGATGTCTGTCATTTCTCAAAGCTAGAATCACGGTTGAAACAGAATTCAGTACCATAGACGAAATAATTGATTTTACGACGAAGCAGCTGATGGCCATCCATAAACCTGAAATGTAGAAGAGCCTCTAGGATAGGCTATTTTTTATGTCTCAATCGTTTTCGTACAGACCTCAGGTACTGTTCATTTCCTGGATTGACAGCTGGGCTGGGCCGATCAGAACAGAACATCGCTTGTTACACACATCGCTCCTGCCACTGCTATACACACACACACACACACACACACATCCGCTATTTTGCCACTGTAAACGTTCAGAAAGCGTCGATGAATGTCAAAGGTGCATATTTTCTGTGTGGAAGAATCTATTTTTCACAACTGTTTAATGACAGAAGGCAAAACCTCTACTGTTATACAACCAACATTTCTCAACGAATGTCGTAAACTAAAAGTCATTACCTTTTGCGCGCGCGCGCGCGCGTATAATCAAACATGTTTTGTTAAATTCAATAACCCAGGTTGGTCTGTTTAATTTTTTGTTGTATTTGTCCCATTTTTGAATAAGATAACATTAGCATTAAAATGGTGGATACACTGTCTGAAGTTCATAATTTACCTCCAACACTTTCGATCATCTCAGTTTGGATATTGTCAGTGTGATGGACAAAATTGTGTATACATACTGACATTTTTATTTGGAACGCTGGGGTTCAAATTAGTCCAAAGTGTCGTTAAGGTGTAAAACGGTTACACGAAGCTAGGCCGTACCGGAAAAGAATGTATC